CGTTTATACTCTCTCGGGTATACATCATTGTTACCCGGATAACCTTTATGTGATGTCTGTGTCTGACGTCTGTATGCCACGTTTATACTCTCTTGGGTATACATCACCGTTACCCGGATAACCTTTATGTGATTTCTGTGTCTGACGTCTGTATGACACGTTTATACTCTCTCGGGTATACATCCCCGTTACCCGGTATAGATGTCCGTTTCTGACGTCTGTATGCCCCTCTTATCCTCTCTTGGGTATACATCACCGTTGCCCGGTATAGATGTCCGTGTCTGGCGTCTGTATGCCACGTTTATACTCTCTCGGGTATACATCCCCGTTACCCGGTAATTAGATGTCCGTGTCTGACGTCTGTATGCCACGTTTATATTCTCTCGGGTATACATCAGCGTTACCCGATATAGATGTCCGTTTCTGACGTCTGTATGCCACTCTTATACTCTCTTGGGTATACATCAGCGTTACCCGGTATAGATGTCCGTTTCTGACGTCTGTATGCCACTCTTATACCCTCTTGGGTATACATCACCGTTACCCGGTATAGATGTCCGTGTCTGACGTCTGTATGCCACTCTTATGCTCTCTTGGGTATACATCACCGTTACCCGGTAATTAGATGTCCGTGTCTGACGTCTGTATGCCACGTTTATATTCTCTCGGGTATACATCACCGTTACCCGGATAACTTTTATGAGATGTCGGTGTCTGACGTCTGTATGCCACGTTTATACTCTCTCGGGTATTCATCATTGTTACCCGGATAACCTTTATTGGATGTCCGTGTCTGACGTCTGTATGCCACTCTTATACTCTCTTGGGTATTCATCATTGTTACCCGGATAACCTTTATGAGATGTCCGTGTCTGACTACTGTACGCCACGGTCCGTGTCTGACGTCTGTATGCCACTCTTATACTCTCTTGGGTATTCATCATTGTTACCCGGATAACCTTTATGAGATGTCCGTGTCTGACTACTGTACGCCACGTTTATATTCTCTCGGGTATACATCACCGTTACCCGGTAAGATGTCCGTGTCTGACGTCTGTATTGTACGTTTATACTCTCCCGGGTATACATCACCGTTACCCAGTAATAAGATGTCCGTGTCTGACGTCTGTATGGCACGTTTATACTCTCCCGGGTATACATCACCGTTACCCAGTAATAAGATGTCCGTGTCTGACGTCTGTATGCCACGTTTATACTCTCTCGGGTATACAACACCGTTACCCGGTAAGATGTCCGTGTCTGACGTCTGTATGGCACGTTTATACTCTCCCGGGTATACATCACCGTTACCCGGATAACCTTTATGAGATGTCCGTGTCCGGAACATCTATTTTCCAGCCTAATATATGTACGATCTTGATTTTTTTAATTTTGTTTTTCAATTTAAATATAAAAGTGAAATATTTATCTTCAGTTTTTTATCACCATATTTGTTTAACACCAAACGATCGAAACACAACTTTTAACAAGTGTTAATTGTAATGGGGGCCATTACAGGAGTCAGAAAAGGATCGCAATACCATAAAACACCTACATACTGAATTTGAGTGAAATCGAACAATATCTGAATTTTGACCAATCAGAAGCCAGTATACCACGATTGAATTGTGGAATCAAAAAACAGATGCCGTAGTTGAGTTTGCAGTTCTAAAATACACCCAAATACTAAATTTGAGTGAAATCGAACAATACATAAATCTCGACCAATCAGCCAAGCATGCGGCAGCAATTTTTGATGCGCAGTTACGAACAAAAGGTGTCTTGCACATCTAGGAACACGCCCAGATACTTGTGAAGTTTCATTGGAATCCAACGAACACTTTCTGAGAAAATGGTCGGACAAAATGTTAGGGCAGGAGAAGGAGAAGAAGAAGAATAACAACAAATACTAATTGTAAAGGGGGACATAGCAGAAGTCCCCCAAACCCCGCAGCTATGTTCGCAGTGCCAAAATACACATACATATAAAATTTGAGCAAAATCGCCCAGTGTTTTATATCGACCAATCAAAGGCCGTGGCGGCCATATTTGTTGACCGATCGAAAAACGAGTTGTCTTGCACATCTAGGCATATACCCCAATACTCATGTGAAGTTTCATTAATCCAACAAATAGTTTCTGAGACAACGATCGAACAAAATTTGAAGGCGGGAGGAGGAGAATAATACTAATAATAGTATTAAGAAACGGAGTAAAACCAATAACTTAAATAAATATCACCATACAACAAACAACATGGAAAAGCTGACGGGAGGTAAATGAAGATTAAAGTAAAAATGCAAGACAATTGTGTCTGCGAAAACAAGGAATCTATTCCTACGGTCTTATCGATTACGGTACGTAATACATGTACTTGAAAGCCCTTTCAGTATATGCACTACAGATCATGTTACTGGTATAAATTATGTTTGCTCATCCATTTATCAGAAATATTAATTAAGTAAAAAGCTTAATCATCAACTTTTGTTGTATTTACAGTTGTATAAGAAGAAATTTACAAATATTTATTTCAATTGTACTTATATTAAAAAAGATAGGTTAATATGATGAGTTTTAAAATGATTATTGTAGTCATTTGATTTTATAAACATTGATCTTATTATCTGTCGTTACATTTACATTTTGCAGAAGGCATACATAAGCGCTGTTCACTTTTTGTAAACTCGTGTATACTTCCACCATATTGGTTCAGCATCTGAGAAACTAAATATCACAAAACTGTGTCAAAATACCTAATTTTATTATGAACCTTACATCAGCATAAATGTCAACATTTCCTCACTGATTCCACAGTGTCATTACCCCGAAAAGGACACGACAGATGGATTATGGTGTGTCTCACATAGAAAACCGCTCGATGAAGCAGATACTGGGTACATGAATCCAAGGGAGGTAAGTATTGTTTATAATCGGACACGCTTTGGATGGCCAACTCAACTGTCAGCATGTGTTTATGATAGATTGGATCTAATTTACAATGCGTCAGATAGGGTAAGTGTCAAAACGGGACAGCATTTAAATTAACTATACCTAATAATCAAACTCTCAGGAATTCCTTTTCAATTTGCCTAATTAATCGTTTCCTACGTGTATTGAAGCACGTACCAAATAATGTCATTCAATTAACTTCATTAAAAGATTTTTTCTCGTTAATCAATTAATATATTCGGTATTTTTGGTAAATAAAGAGAAAAATACAGACTTGTATTTTTGTCGTTGTTTTTAAAATAAAGTATCTTAATAAAATAGAGTATAATATGACAGTCTTTATCAATGTTACTTTATTGTCAGTAATGATCAGACAGGCTTTATCAATGTTACCCTATTGTCAGTACTGACCAGACAGGCTTTATCAATGTAACTCTGTTATCAGTAATGATCAGACAGGCTTTATCAATGTAATCTTATTGTAAGTGATGATCAGACAGGCTTTATCAATGTTACCATATTGTCAGTATTGGTCAGGCAGGCTTTATCAATGTAACCCTATTATCAGTAATGATCAAACAGGCTTTATCAATGATACTTTGTTATTTATAATGATAAGACAGGCTTTATCAATGATACTCTGTTATCAGTAATGATCAGACAGGCTTTATCAATGTAACCCTATTATCAGTTATGATCAGACAGGCTTTATCAATGTAACCCTATTGTCAATAATGATCAGACAGGCTTTATCAATGTAACCTTATAGTCAGTAATGATCAGACAGGATTTATCAATGTAACCCTATTGTCAGTATTGATCAGACAGGCTTTATCAATGTAACCCTAGTGTCAGTAATGATCAGACAGGCTTTATCAATGTAACCCTATTGTCAGTGATGATCAGACAGGCTTTATCAATGTAACCCCATTGTCAGTAATGATCAGACATACTTCATCATTTTTACCCTAATATTAGTTAGGAGGAGACAGAATTCATCAGTATTACCCTATTATCAGTAATGATCAAACAGGCTTCATCAATGTTACCCTATTGTAAGTAATTATCAGACAGGAATCACCAATGTTACCCTTATGTCAGTGATAATCAGACAGGCTTCATAGATGTTACCTTTTGCAAGTAATTATCAAATATACTTCATCAATGTAACCTTATTGTCGATAATGATCAGACAGGCTTCATCAACGCTGCCCCATTGTCAATGATAATCAGACAACCTGCATCAATGTTACTTTAATGTCAGTTACGATCAGGCAGGCTTCATCAATGTAACCCTAATGTCAGTAATGATCAAACAAACTTCATCAATGTAACCTTATTGTCAATAATGATCAGACACACTTCATCAATGTAACCTTATTGTCAGTAATGATCAGACAGGCTTCATCAATGCTACCTTATTGTCAATAATGATTAGAGAGACTTTATCAATGTAACCCTATTGACAGTAATGATCAGACAAGCTTTATCAATGTTACCCTATTGTCAGTTATGATCAGACAGGCTTCATCAATGTTACCCTATTGTCAGTAATGATCAGACAGACTTCATCAATGTTTCTCTTGTTTCTCTATTATCAGTCAAGATCCGACAAATTCTTTAATTTTATTCTAGTGTCAGTAATGATCAGACAGACTTTATCAATGTCACCCTATTATCAGTAATGATCAGACAGACTTCATCAATGTTATCTTATTGTCAGTAATGATCAGACAGGCTTTATTAATGCTACCCTATTGTCAGTAATGCTCAGACAGGCTTTATCAATGCTACCTTATTGTCAGTAATGATCAGACAGGCTTCATTGATGTAACCCTCCTATATAGAAGGGTTAATATCACAGGAAACATTGTTACATCCGTTAACAGTGACACTGTCCTACAATGTATTTAATGAGAACTGTTAAAAACCTAACCAGCCGGTTATAACATATTTCATTTTTTTTCTTAAATAGTTTTACTCTATAAAAGAAATATTATGTAAAAGCTTTGAATCTATCACTAGGTTTATTATGCTGGGTTTATAAACAAAATAGCGACAGTACCATATAATAGTGGCGCTAGATCCAAGCAACGATATTTTCACTTAGCTAGATCTATAAGCAAAGTAACAGCGACAATGCAGGCGAAGGAACTAGTCGAACTTCCGATGCAATCCTCACCTTTAGCATATCACAACATATAACATGAATTTAAACAGTCACCATGAAACAATATACTATTTGGACATTACTATACCGTGTCAGTACGTAATGTTTCCATTGTACGTATGTAAATAAGTAGACTACGGAAGCATTAGATGACCCTTACTTCCGACGTTCGGTGAGGGATGTATCTTGTTTACTCAATTATCTGAAATATAACAAGACAATGTAAGCGATACACTACGGGGAATGTATAGAAACGAAGATGACGTTAATTCTAGTTTACTTATGTCTCGACCTTTACTTACTTGTACAACTGAACTATAGGACCTTGCGGACTCCGAATTTTCGATCATGAACTTTGTACATATGATACAGGGTACATGTGGTGAATGGTACATGTGATATAGTGTACATATGATACAGGGTACATTTGATCGAGGGAACATATGGTACAGGGTACATGTGATACAGGATACATGTGATGCAGGAAACATGTGACATCGGGTATATGTGATACAGGGTATATGTGATACAGGGTATATGTGATACAGGGTATATGTGATACATGGAAAATATGATACAAGGGTACACATGATACAGGGTTCATGTGGTAAAGGGTTTATATAATATAAGGAACATCTGATACCGGGTTCATGTTATACAGGGTATATGTGATACAGGGTACATGTGCTACAGGGTATATGTGATACAGGATACAAATGATACAGGGAACGTATGATATAGGATGCATGTGATAGGGGGTACATGTGATACAGGGTATATGTGATACAGGGTAAATATGATACAAGGGTACACATGATACAGGGTTCATGTGGTAAAGGGTTTATATAATATAAGGAACATCTGATACCGGGTTCATGTTATACAGGGTATATGTGATACAGGGTACATGTGCTACAGGGTATATGTGATACAGGATACAAATGATACAGGGAACGTATGATATAGGATGCATGTGATAGGGGGTACATGTGATACAGGGTATATGTGATACAGGGTAAATATGATACAAGGGTACACATGATACAGGGTTCATGTGGTAAAGGGTTTATATAATATAAGGAACATCTGATACCGGGTTCATGTTATACAGGGTATATGTGATACAGGGTACATGTGCTACAGGGTATATGTGATACAGGATACAAATGATACAGGGAACGTATGATATAGGATGCATGTGATAGGGGGTACATGTGATACAGGGTATATGTGATACAGGGTAAATATGATACAAGGGTACACATGATACAGGGTTCATGTGGTAAAGGGTTTATATAATATAAGGAACATCTGATACCGGGTTCATGTTATACAGGGTATATGTGATACAGGGTACATGTGCTACAGGGTATATGTGATACAGGATACAAATGATACAGGGAACGTATGATATAGGATGCATGTGATAGGGGGTACATGTGATACAGGGTATATGTGATACAGGGTAAATATGATACAAGGGTACACATGATACAGGGTTCATGTGGTAAAGGGTTTATATAATATAAGGAACATCTGATACCGGGTTCATGTTATACAGGGTATATGTGATACCGGGTACATGTGCTACAGGGTATATGTGATACAGGATACAAATGATACAGGGAACGTATGATATAGGATGCATGTGATAGAGGGTACATGTGATACATGATGCACGTGATACAGGTTACGTGATACAGGGTATATGTGATACAGGGTACGTGCTATACAGAGTATATTTTATAAAGGGTACATATGATACAGGGTTAAATGTGATACAGGGTACGTGCTATACAGGGTATATTTTATACAGGGTACATATGATACAGGGTATATTTTATACAGGGTACGTGCTATACAGAGTATATTTTATACAGGGTACATATGATACAGGGTAAAATGTGATACAGGGTACGTGCTATACAGAGTATATTGTATACAGGGTACATATGATACGGGGTTAAATGTGATACAGGGTACGTGCTATACAGGGTATATTGTATACAGGGTACATATGATACAGGGTAAAATGTGATAAAGGGTACGTGCTATACTCTGTATAGCCCGTACCCTGTATCACGTTTAACCCCGTATCATATGTACCCTGTATACAATATTATATGTATCCTGTATCACATATACCCTGAATAGCACGTACCCTGTATAAAATGTACTCTGTATAGCACGTGCCCTGTATCACATTTTCCCCTGTATCATATGTACCCTGTATAAAATGTACTCTGTATAGCACGTACCCGGTATCACATTTAACCCTGTATCATATGTTCCCTGTATAAAATATACCCTGGATAGAACGTCCCATGTATCACATTTTACCCTGTGTCATATGTACCCTGTATAAGATATACTCTGTATAGCCCGTACCCTGTATCACGTAACCTGTATCACGTGCATCATGTATATATAACATGTACCCTGTATTATATGTACCCTGTATACAACATACTCTGTATAGCACGTGCCCTGTATCACATTTAACGCTGTATCATATGTACCCTGTAGAAAATATACTCTGTATAGCACGTGCCCTGTATCACATTTGACCCCGTATCATATGTACCCTATATCACATGTACCCTGTATTATATGTACCCTGTATCATATGTACACTATATCACATGTACCCTATATAACATGTACCCTGTATTATATGTACCCTGTATCACAGTTAACCCTGTATCATATGTCCCCTGTATCATATGTACGCTGTATAAAATATACCCTGTATCATATTTACCCTGTATAAAATGTACTCTGTATAGCACGTGCCCTGTATCACATTTAACCCCGGATCATATGTACCCTGTAGAAAATATACTCTGTATAGCACGTACACTGTATCACATTTTACGCTGTATCATATGTACACTATATCACATGTACCCTGTACCATATGTTCCCTCGATCAAATGTACCCTGTATCATATTTACCCTGTATAAAATGTACTCTGTATAGCACGTGCCCTGTATCACATTTTACGCTGTATCATATGTACGCTGTATAAAATATACCCTGTATACAGGGTAAAATGAGATACAGGGTACGTGATATACAGAGTATATTGTATACAGGGAACATATGATACAGGGAACATGTGATACAGGGGACATGTGATACAGGGTAGGTGCTATACAGGGTATATTTTATACAGGGTACATATGATACAGGGTACATGTGATACAGGGTACATATGATACAGGGTAAAATGTGATACAGGGTACGTGCTGTACAGAGTATATTTTATAAAGGGTACATATGATACAGGTTTAAATGTGATACACGGTACGTGCTATACAGGGTACATTTTATACAGGGTACATATAATACAGGGTACATGTGATACAGGGTATATGTGATACAGGGTACATGTGCTACAGGGTATATGTGATACAGGGTACATATGATACAGGGTAAAATGTGATACAGGGTACGTGCTATACAGAGTATATTTTATAAAGGGTACATATGATACAGGGTTAAATGTGATACACGGTACGTGCTATACAGGGTACATTTTATACAGGGTACATATGATACAGGGTACATGTGATATAGGGTACATATGATACATATGTACATTGGTACTTATGATACAGGATACATATAATAAAGGGTACATGTGATACAGGGTACATGTTATATAGGGTACATGTGGAGGGTACATGTGATACAGGGCACATGTTATATAGGGTACAATATGTGATACAGGGTAAATATGATACAGCGTTAAATGTGATACACGGTACGTGCTATACAGGGTACATTTTATACAGGGTACATATGATACAGGGTACATGTTATATAGGGTACATGTGATACAGGGTACATGTTATATAGGGTAAATGTAATACATGGTACGCTCATTGTTTTTCTGATGCATCTGATTTTAAGTATTGTGGTCGAGTCGAGCCGTTTTGTTTTAGCATGATGTGTTTTATTTTTTTATTTTTATATCCTGTTTCAATGTAAGACATTATATTTAGAAGCTTTTCCCAAAAACAATGATTATGATCGACTTTTTAATACTTTACATTCAATAGCCTCGGAGTGCTGTAGACGAAGTCCCACGCCGTTCTGAACTTAGATTGAAACATGCACAACAGGATACAATGGAGGGGGACAAATTAGGAGGAGCGCTCGTAACATACAAACTAGAGCAAGGGGAATACTTCCATCACTTTGAAGAATTTGGATTATTCGAGAAATCGCTGTTAAGAGATTCTCTTTACGTGAAGTAAAACTAGCTTTTATACCTAGTGCTATCTTATAAACTATTTTAGCATTCGTTTATTACTTATAATGAATGGAAATGATTTTTTTTTCAAAACCAGCATGATCTATCGATTTAAAAGCAGGATACTAAGATGCTAAATTAGCAATATTTGAAACAGGTAATACAAAATGGTCCTTCGGTAATTTTAATTGAAATTAGGAATTAAAACTGAAACCAATTTCGTATCATTGATGCCAAACTACAATGTCAACGTATTAATATCACTCAAGTAAGATTTTATTATTTCATTTAATGCATCTGATATTGTTGTTGACGTTGCAGACAAAACGATCAGCTGGTTACACTCGATGGCTGGACGGTGAACGAAATGGATCACAGCTCGGTCGTTACGCTGTTCCTTAACTTAGAGATAGGAAAAGAACATGTGATGGTGAGGCTCACTGGTATACTGCCTATCTGTCCACTTATGTCAGAATAAGTTGCATTAAGCTTTCAAAACTAGAAAGAATGAAAATCAAAAATTGCAGCAATCAAAGCAGATACAAACATTTAATAAAATTGTGTTCCGAAAAACCTATCTCAATAATATATTGGGAAATTAACCTTAATATCAATGATGTACTAGAGTACACAAATGAATTCATATTCAAAACCTTACAGAACAACAAACTAAAAGAGTTCAGATGGAAATTATTAAATAAAATCCTAGTATCAAAGCAAATACTACATAAATGGAAATTGAGTGATACACCTAATTGTAATGTTTGTAACATACCAGAAGACTATGATTTTTTTCTCTCCATCAAATGCAGATATCTACAAAGTTTTAATAACACAATTAAGCACCTCTTTGATAAACCTAGATATAAAAAAAGGGTATGTTGACTTTAAAAAAACTTAGCAATTGGATATAAAATAGAACACTCATATTACAATGAACTCAATCACCTCCTAGCAGTGTGAAACATATTTACTGAAAAGGCGATGCAAAGTTTCGAGTTTTTCCCCTATAACGTTTCGAGTTCTTCCCCTATGACGTTTCGAGTTCTTCCCCTATGACGTTTCGAATTCTTCCCCTATGACGTTTCGAACCACCTGTTCGATCTCTAAATGTTTCATTCATGAAACAACTGACAAGCTACTTGTATAAACATCTAGATCTAGTTGTTCAAAGCCAGATTGGTTTATATCATTTGCTCAATGAAAAGAAATTCAAAGAAGGGAAAAAACTGGATAGTTGGTGACTCATTCCCCGGTTGTGCCATACTAATGAATACCACAAATTGTGCACGAGACGTAACATCTTTCGGGGCACAAGGGAATGCCTTAGTTTGTTTGGTGCGTATGAAGAGAGGATGTATGTGTTACCCTGTGCTGTCTCTTCAGTCTATAGGGGCTATATTTCCGTGTTTCTGTACTTGAATTTATTTTGGTTGTGTTTTAATTTTAAACAAAAATAGATTTTGTGAATTTATCATACATGGCTTTTCCGACGCTAGACAGTATAGCTTGTTGTGTATTCATGATCTCCTCATTCCTGTACTTGTACTTCAGTAAAGTTTTTGTTATTTTTCAGCTGGTAGCCAATCATCAAATTTCTACTGATTCTTTCCGGCAAATTACATTCTCATTACATGGTTTCATAACAGGTAAGAATAGCAACTTAAAGTGCACTGACGTATATGGTTTAACATATTACTATTATATTGTCACTTTCATTAAATATTGGTTTAGATCCCTTTATGCGCAATCAGTTCTCGTGAGTGACACATTTACAGAGTTGTTGTCGTTTGAAATAAACAGCTCCAAATAAGAACAGTTGTTGAGCGTGTAACCTAAAATCCGCCAGTCCTAAAACTTACAAGACTGACGAGTTTACAGTAATACAAATGAGAAACGAATACTTTGATAAGGGAAGGAACTCCACGTCCAGAACAATCAGTTACTATTTTATCTTTTAAATGTAAGGGATCGTACTTCAAGCCGACAATAGATATAGTAAAGTGGAACTCTTAAGTAAAAAGTTCAAAACTCGATATTAAGAAACATTGGTATATCGTATATGCATGTATGTTTCCCTGAGAGGCTATATTTTGTAAGCAATTTTTGTAAACAATTATGAACAAAAATACTGCTTCCCATTATACTTTAATAAGTCACTTAGATCATGAGGATCGAAGAGCGGTATCAATCTTCATGATCTCAGTGACTTATTAAAGTATACTGGTAAGCAGTATTTTTGTTCATAATTGCTAGACAGCTCACAAAATAAAGACCCTCAGGGTAAAATATACACGATGAACCAATTATTAAAAACCAGAATAATAAAATATTGAATAGTGTCTCTGCAGTTTAACTTCCACTCCTTATTATGCCGCTAAACGAAAAGAACCATACAATTAAAACCCCAGTTCACGGAAGCAGGCTTCCTTTAACATAAATACAAAACACAATGTAACACTATTGTATAAAAACAAGGATGCTATGTATTATTCCTCCTACATGTCTACACAGTAGAAGTCGTACCCTGAACTTACAATGTGGATGTTTGCTTACTTATAGAATGTTAGGGACTTTTTTTGTGAATATTACAATATTTGTATTTGAAAACGCTGTTTGTTAAGTCCTCTTAAAACCTATTAACAAGAATAATGGCATGTCCACAGCATAATTTGTGTCTTTCGTGATCGCATGATAATTTAAGTCTTTGATTGATTTTTGTTTAATAATGATATATACTAGCGGAAAAAAAGAAACTGTGCATGCGGAGAATTGTTATAGAACATGTATTACCAACTGTATATACATGAACATTCACACACATAACCGAGTATGACACATACACACTATCCGTGTGTAATTGACAGTTTTTCCCGTGCAGTTTGCTCTCTATAGGCGTTGACCAGTTTGCACGTGTTTCTCGTCCAGCCATCCAATTCGACATTGAAAGTTTATTTTTCTACTGTTGGGTCACTCTGTTGAGACTTGTAAACAGTAAAAACAGCATTATAAATTTTAATTTGTGATTAATGCTATGCCGAGGCTCAATGAAAATGACTGCCTCCGGATTATTGGTATGCTTCAAGCTGGTATGGGCCAAGCCGTTGTCTCTACACGTTTTCATGTCCATCGAAAGACAATCCGGGATTTGTGGAGACGACATCAACAGTTTGGCCAAGTCGGCGATCGACCTCGTGCGGGACGTCCACGTGTGACGTCACGTCAACAGGTCAACCATATTCGGCTTGTCCATTTGAGAAATCGCTTCCAAACGGCAAGATTGACTGCACGGACAATCCCTGGTTTGCTACCAATAAGACCGAGAACTGTACGGAACTGATTGCGTGAACGAGCTATCCGTCCGCGACGTCCTGTAATCCACCCAGTTCTTCTGCCACGTCATCGTGTAGCACGTCTGGACTGGTGCAGAAGGCATCTGCGATTTACTCGACGGGATTGGGCAAGCATTTTGTTTACGTACGAGTCGCGAGGTCACCTGGATATTAGTGACGGCCGTTCCAGAGTATATCGTCGCGTTGGAGAACGTTTCCGTGACGCGTGTGTGGTACAGCGACGTTCTTTCAGCGGAGGCAGCGTTATGATTTGGGGCGGCATCACAGCCAACGGGTGAACGCCTCTGATGGGTTTTTTAACGGGAATTTGAACGCGCTACGTTACCGTGACGAGATCCTCCGGACCCAGGTCGTTCCATTCGTGCAAGGGCAGCAACGTCGCATTACGCTACAGCAGGACAACGTCAGGCCACACACAGCTCGTGTCGCTATAGACTTTCTTGCACAGCAGAACGTTGACGTGTTGCCCTGGCCTGCTGTATCCCCCGATCTGTCACCCATTGAACACGTCAGGGATGAAATGAAGCGCATATTACGGGCATTACCTAATCAATCAGCCGGTGACGTTGGCCGATTCGGCTGCAGCGTTGGTACAGATCTGGAATGCCATCCCACAAGCATTCGTGAACCGTTTGATAGGCTCCATGTGTCGACGTTGCCAGGCTTGCAGGCTTGCATTTAGGCAAACGGTGGATATACGAGGTATTAACTTTGTGAACTCAGTATTGACTCCTGCTGTGTTTACGTCACACCTGAGCCAAACTTATTGATTCCATAACGTGGAAAATGGAATGCAACTGTTAATAAATAACAAATAAATTGTCCCTAAAAACCTTGTTGTTCTACGTCATAAACATTTTTTTTATAACACACTTTAGGCATGCACAGTTTCTTTTTGTCCGCTAGTATATATGTTTACCTTGTCTATTTCTAACAGAAGAACATGAGGATGAGGAAAAGCCAGAGGAAATGCTTCGGATAGAGAACTTTACACTAGCGGTTATGCCATTGAATGATATCACAGACGAGGTGAACATTTCTCTGGAGAATGAGGAGCATATCTACCTGAATAAAGACCTCCTCTTTGTCTCCACTAGGTCTGTTGATACAGACAGGTCAGGTATGGTGATCACGTATGTCCTACTAAATAGTAATTAAAGCATGGTTAACACGTGTGTCATACAGTGGTTTTTAAATAATTAACGAAGTACAGTATGGTGATCACAAAAGTCAACCTATACAAATATGGAGTGATTCCAGCAAAGAGCTTCATCACTAATACAGCACTGGTGACAAACTGTCTAGGTTCCCATCGTGTCTTACACTACATTGTACATGTGTACTTTTTTTGATTCTGTAGTTCGATTCATAAGAAAACGACGTCAAAAATGGGTTGGCTCACACGTTCAAATAACCTCAACATTTAAACAAAAGGACGCTGGATTTGTAGCGATTGACGAAAAAGGAAATGTGGTAAGAATGTCAAATATCTTGATCGAATATATTTTATATTCACATTTACTTCGGCTTTTGATTTCTGGACTAACTATCAAACCTTTTTTATAAATGTATCCTTGATGTAACAGTCTTCACTGTTGATATGTTCACAGCTGACGTTGAAAGATAAAGAAATTTCTGTCATTAAAACCGTTGTTTTTAATTTTCTTTAATATTTTCTTCGCCACTCTTCATGATATACTGGGACTTTAATTTGACTTGCCAAACTAACGTAAACAGAAGCAAAGTAGTAAATACAGGGGTGGCAAGACTTGGTTATCCTGTGGTGAAACGTTAGATTTATTACATGTACCAGGTTCTCGCCTTCTGCAAATACATGCACTCAAATCAGTTTTTTCGTTAGAGTTTTCTATTTTTTCATTTGCTTCATTTAATTTTATTTAATTTATTCAAAATAACCTCTTCGTAATTATCGCAGGCATTCTGATATACAATCGATAGGTGTCATCTAACAACTAGAAAATATATAGTAAATAGGATGCTTTGGGGAGTTTCGTGGAAATGACGTTCGGCTTGTGATTGTGATCGTTATAAAAGTATATAAAATAGTTTATTATCTTATTGACAGGCTATGCTCCCTCAATTTCAACAAAATGCTGTTTTCATAGCCAAGTACAATAACTGGGGCATATGGTCTATTAAGTCCAAATATTGCGGTAAGTACTGTTTGTGAGGTTTTCTCTTACACATGTACTTGGGCGTCCAGTAAGCGAATGTCTCTGTGTAATACGATCGCGCTGCGCTTATGCAGGGATATATAATGACTATGGTCAACCTTGCTGCGATTGTGTATGGCCCAAAGTTCCGTTGATAAAGACTGGCGTCGCGTGAAATAAAACAAACCTTTCAATTAAATATATTTAGCGCAAAGTACCCACGTTTATGCTTAAATATCAAACATATATATATTACGTTAAACAAATCCCTCTTTAATCCCTACTGATTATCAAGGTGCCATATCAATAATTTGTATATATAGCATAGGTATCCACCTTTTGCCCTGCTATATCCTATATTTTAGAATGAGTTTCTAACCCAACAGACAGGATTGATACCAAAAAGATAAAGTAGTATAAAAGAGACTATCATACCAACAGACCAGTGCTAACATTTATTGTCGTCCAGCAATGCCAAACACGACTTATAACAATCCACATACCATAGGGGAATCATTTCAAACTGAACTAACGCGTTATGTAACGTCTGAATTTATTTTTAAAGACATATAGGAAGAAAAACTGAATAAATAACCATTAATCAGCCTAAACTAGCTTTAACAACAATGATTACAAGAAAACTCAACCATTTATAAGCCAGCATTATCACCGCAGGTTCAAATCTTATACTTTCACTTACGGAAACCAGTTATTTAGAATGTTTGCAACTTTGTGAAATGATAAATCACCTGTTATTTTAAGACATATACACGAAATGTACCATCATCATATTCGAGAGGAATGTTGAAACCAAGAATTCCACGTTAATATTTCAAACATGCACAGACGTCTGGTTTTCGATCTCTACTGGGTTAGAGTGCTGAGGGGATGGGCTTACATTATGCTTAACATGCAATTATAGTGAATTTATCATTTAAACAACAGATGTTTTAGTGGATATTCAACGGGAAAATATATATGCATTATAACAAATGATTACAACGTGGGGCCATACATTTAAAAAGAGTGTTGCCAGAAATATAGCTGAAGCAGTCACAGTTTCTATTGGCAATTGTATATGCCGTATATTACCGTATGCCGTATATTGCCGTATTCCGTATATTGCTATCTGATTGCACAACTAGATATCGTTCAATGTGTGTGAATTGTTAAGCACATTTGAGTAACTTACAAGATGTTCAGAGCCTCTCAGTAAAATATCGAGTAGCCTTCTGGATTAGAAATCTGTTTACGTGTAACACTTACATCTCGAGTAGCCTAAATGAGTAAAACACCCACATCACCGCCACTTCCTGATTAGCGTCGGTAAGGGATTCGCGTGCTTTTATAACTTGAGTACATCTGCAGTTCTAAGACCGGCCAGGCCACAAGTCATAAACTTGTCGTCACTTGTGATTTGTAATTTCCATGTTACCTGGCAAATTATCAAACGCATGGTATCTTGTACAATTATATGATTAAGATACGAATCTCTTAACTGTAATAGGTGTAAATGTATGTGTGACTATATGTATCGCAATTGCTATCCTAACGCTGCAACTGGTTACTGCGATGATCATATATCCGTCTACAAACGAAAATACATTTGCTTCACGTGTCTTTTTATTTTTAACTTTATTTCCAGGTCATTTTCTTGCCGAGCAGAATAGAAGACTTTGCTCTATTCCTAATGACCGGGATGGCTATTTCGTCATCAAACCTTCTAACTGCAGAAATTGTCTCTGAATATATACTCCACGACACTGAATGGAGGACTGGCTATCGACGCACAACAACTTTTACATAAACTGTTTTATTGATAATTGTATATATTACATTGCTTATGCATATGATATGGCATATGTTAGGGATGACCATTTCTACATCAACAGTTTGTCGTTATAGGACCATAGCAGCATTGGCGAAAATATTAATTTCGTAAAATGTTACCTATCAATGACCTATCAATGAACTTTTAGGTGAAGTACTAAAGATTTTTTTATAACATTTATATTGCAAGTATTTATTAACTCCTGTAATCGGTGTTCTGCTCGAATTTCTTTTCGTTATCGCATCTGCATGTAGTTTTTTAACTCAGTTTTGCAGTTTGTCACATATAAACTCCCATTGATGGGTTGAATATAATGACATGTTTTGTAGGACAAGAACATATTAAAATACGGTTATTTCGTGTGTATGTTTACACGAAGGAAATAGAGTCAGCAGATTGCTCGCGGGATATCTACTTCATAAAAACTATTAAATGTAATGTTTATCAGGTATAATTCCAACGTCAGATATATACGAACTCTCCTCTGTACTTATCTGGATATGTTACAATGTTATACGTTTGATTTGATATAATTATGGATTGTTTTACGGTACTTCCTTGATAAAGTTATATTTCCATTCCCAGAACTGCTAGACACTTAACTCTGATGTAAATAGTGATGGCACTCCCAGTACTGCTAAACACTCAACTCTGATGTAAACAGTCACGCCACTCCCATTACTGCTAAACACTGAACTCTGATGTAAACAGTCACGCCACTCCCAGTACTGCTAAACAGTAAACTCTGATGTAAACAGTAACGGCACTCCCAGTGCTGCTAAACAATAAACCCTGATGTAAACAGTAATGATACTCTCAGTACTGCTAAACACTCAACCCTGATGTAAACAGTAATGACACTCTCAGTACTGCTAAACACTCAAATCTGATGTAAACAGTCACGCCACTCCCAGTACTGCTAAACACACAACTCTGATGTAAACAGTCATGCCACTCCAAGTACTGCTAAACACTCAACTCTGATGTAAACAGTCACGCCACTCCCAGTACTGCTAAACACACAACTCTGATGTAAACAGTCATGTCACTTCAAGTACTGCTAAACACTCAACTTTGATGTAAATAGTAATGGCACTCTCAGTACTGCTAAACACTCAACTCTGATGTAAACAGTAATGACACTCTTAGTACTGCTAAACACTTAACTCTGATGTAAACAGTCAAGTCACTTCAAATACTGCTAAACACTCAACTCTGATGTAACAGTCAAGTCACTTCAAGTACTGCTAAACACTCAACTTTGATGTAAATAGTGATGGCACTCCCAGTACTGCTAAACACTCAACACTGTTGTAAACAGTCATGACACTCCCAGTACTGCTAAACACTTGACTCTGAGGTAAACAGTAATGACACTCCCAGTACTACTAAACACTTAACTCTGATGTCAACAGTAATTACACTCCCAGTCCTGCTAAACACTCAACTCTGATGTAAAGAGTAATGACATTCTCAGTACTGCTAAACACTTAACTCTGATGTAAACAGTCAAGTCACTTCAAGTACTGCTAAACACTCAACTTTGATGTAAACAGTAATGACACTCCCAGTACTGCTAAACACTCAACTCTGATGTAAACAGTAATGACACTCCAAGTACTGCTAAACACTCAACTCTGATGTAAATAGTCATGACACTCCCAGTACTGCTAAACACTCAACCCTGATGTAAAACAGTCATCACTCTCCCAGTACTGCTAAACACTCAACTCTGATGTAAACAGTAATGACACCCCCAGTGCTACTAAACACTCAACTCTGATGTAAACAGTCATGACACTCCCAGTACTGCTAAACACTTAACTTTGATGTAAACAATAATGGCACTCCGAGTACTGCTAATTACTCAACACTGATGTAAACAGTAATGACACTCCCAGTACTGCTAAACACTCAACCCTGATGTAAACAGTAATGACAATATCAGTACTGCTAAACACTCAACCTTGAATAAAACAGTCATGACACTCTCAGTATTGCTAAACACTTGACTCTGATGTAAACAGTAATGACACTCCCAGTACTGCTAAACACCCAACTCTGATGTAAACAGTCATGACACTCCCAGTACTGCTAAACTCTCAACTTTGATGTAAACAGTAATGGCACTCCCAGTACTGCTAAACTCTCAACTCTGATGTCAACAGTAATGACACTCCCAGTACTGCTAAACTCCCAACTCTGATGTAAACAGTCATGACACTCCCAGTACTGCTAAACACTCAACTTTGATGTAAACAGTCATGTCACTCCAAGTACTGCTAAACACTTAACTCTGATGTAAACAGTCATGTCACTCCCAATCCTGCTAAACACTCAACTCTGATGTAAACAGTAATGGCACTCCCAGTGCTGCTAAACACTCAACTCTGATGTAAACTGTCATTACACTCCCAGCACTGCTAAACACTCAACTCTGATGTAAATAGTAATTACACTCCCAGTACTGCTAAACACTCAACTCTGATGTAAAAAGTAATGGCACTCCCAGTACTGCTAAACACTTAACTCTGATGTAAACTGTCAAGTCACTTCAAGTACTGCTAAACACTCAACGCTGATGTAAACAGTAATGACCCTCCCAGTGCTACTAAACAATCAACTCTGATGTAAACAGTAATTACACCGCCAGTACTGCTAAACACTCACCTCTGATGTAAACAGTTATGACACTCCCAGTACTGCTTAACACTCACTCCCAGTACTGCTAAAAACTCAACTCTGATGTAAACTGTCAAGTCACTTCAAGTACTGCTAAACACTCGACTCTGATGTAAACAGTAATGACGCTCCCAGTACTGCTAAACACCTAACTCTGATGTAAACAGTCATGACATTCCCAGTACTGCTAAACACACAACTCTGATGTAAACAGTATTGACACTCTTAGTACTGCTAAACACTTAAATTTGATGTAAACAATAATGGAACTCCCAGTACTGCTAAACCCTCAACTCTGATGTAAACATTAATGACACTCCCAGTACTGCTAAATACTCAACCCTGATGTAAACAGTAATGACATCCCAGTATTGCTAAACACTTGACTCTGATGTAAACAGTAATGGCACTCCCAGTGCTGCTAAACACTCAACTCTGATGTAAACAGTAATGACACTCCCAGTGCTACTAAACACTCAACTCTGATGTAAACAGTAATGACACTCCCAGTACTGCTAAACACTTAACTTTGATGTAAACAATAATGGCACTCCCAGTACTGCTAAACACTCAACTTTGATGTAAACATTAATGACACTCCCAGTACTGCTAAACACTCAACCCTGATGTAAACAGTAATGACAATATCAGTACTGCTAAACACTCAACCTTGAATAAAACAGTCATGACACTCCCAGTATTGCTAAACACTTGACTCTGATGTAAACAGTAATGACATTCCCAGTACTGCTAAACACCTAACTCTGATGTAAACAGTCATGACACTCCCAGTACTGCTAAACACCTAACTCTGATGTAAACAGTCATGACGCTCCCAGTACTGCTAAACACTCAACTACACTCAACTCTGATGTAACAGTCAAGTCACTTCAAGTACTGCTAAACACTCAACTTTGATGTAAACATTAATGACTCTCCCAGTACTGCTAAACACTCAAATCTTATGTAAACAGTAATGACACTCCCAGTGCTACTAAACACTCATCTCTGATGTAAACAGTAATGACATCTGATGTAAACAGTAATGACATTCCCAGTATTGCTAAACACCTAACTCTGATGTAAACAGTAATGACATTCCCGGTACTGCTAAACACCTAACTCTGATGTAAACAGTCATGTCACTCCCAGTCCTGCTAAACACTCAACTCTGATGACTGCTAAACCCTTAACTCTGATGTAAACAGTAATGACACCGCTAGTACTGCTAAACACTCAACTCTCCCAGTACTGCTAAACACTTAACTTTGATGTAAACAATAATGGCACTCCCAGTACTGCTAAACCCTCAACTCTGATGTCAACAGTAATGACACTCCCAGTACTGATAAACATCTAACTCTGATGTAAACAGTCATGACGCTCCCAGTACTGCTAAACACTCAAACTCAACTTTGATGTAAACAGTAATGGCACTCCCAGTAAACAGTAATGACACTCCCAGTGCTACTAAACACTCATCTCTGATGTAAACAGTAATGACAATACCAGTACTGCTAAATACTCAACCCTGATGAAAACAGTAATGACAATATCAGTACTGCTAAACACTCTACCTTGAATAAAACAGTCATGACACTCCCAGTAAGTACTGCTAAACACTCAACCCTGATGTAAAACTGTCATGACACTCCCAGTACTGCTAAACATCTAACTCTGATGTAAATAATGACACTCCCAGTACTGCTAAACATCTAACTCTGATGTAAATAATGACACTCCCAGTACTGCTAAACATCTAACTCTGATGTAAACAGTAATGACATTCCCGGTACTGCTAAACACCTAACTCTGATGTAAACAGTAATGACATCTGATGTAAACAGTAATGACACCGCTAGTACTGCTAAACACTCAACTCTGATGTCAACATTAATGACACTCCCAGTACTGCTAAATACTCAACCCTGATGAAAACAGTAATGACAATATCAGTACTGCTAAACACTCTACCTTGAATAAAACAGTCATGACACTCCCAGTATTGCTAAACACTTAACTCTGATGTAAACAGTAATGACACTCCCAGTACTGCTAAACATCTAACTCTGATGTAAACAGTCATGACATTCCCAGTACTGCTAAACACTCAACTTTGATGTAAACAGTAATGACACTCCCAGTACTGCTGAACACTCAACTCTGATGTAAACAGTAATGACACTCTCAGTACTGCTAAACACTCAACTCTGATGTAAACTGTAATGACACTCCCAGTACTGCTAAACACTCAACTTTGATGTAAACAGTCATGTCACTCCAAGTACTGCTAAACACTCAACTCTGATGTAAACAGTCATGTCACTCCCAGTCCTGCTAAACACTCAACTCTGATGTAAACAGTAATGGCACTCCCAGTCCTGCTAAACACTCAACTCTGATGTAAACAGTCATGACACTCCCAGCACTGCTAAACACTCAACTCTGATGTAAACAGTAATTACACTCCCAATACTGCTAAACACTCAACTCTGATGTCAACAGTAATTGCACTCTCAGTACTGCTAAACGCTCAACTCTGATGTCAACAGTAATGACACTCCCAGTACTGCTAAACCCTCAACTCTGATGTCAACAGTAATGACCCTCCCAGTACTGCTAAACACTCAACTTTGATGTAAACAGTCATGTCACTCCAAGTACTGCTTAACACTTAACTCTGATGTAAACAGTCATGTCACTCCCAGTCCTGCTAAACACTCAACTCTGATGTAAACAGTAATGACACTCCCAGTACTGCTAAACACGCAACTCTGATGTAAACAGTAATGCCACTCCCAGTACTGCTAAACACTCAACTTTGATGTAAACAGTCATGTCACTCCAAGTACTGCTAAACACTCAACTCTGATGTAAACAGGAATGACACTCTCAGTACTGCTAAACACTCAACTCTGATGTAAACAATAATGACACTCCCAGTACTGCTAAACACGCAACTCTGATGTAAACAGTAATGCCACTCCCAGTACTGCTAAACACTCAACCCTGATGTAAACATGAATGACACTCCCAGTACTGCTGAACACTCAACCCTGATGTAAACAGTCACACCACTCCCAGTACTGCTAAACACGTAATTCTGTGGTAACAGTCATGACACTCCCAGTACTGGTAAACACTCAACTCTGATGTAAACAGTCACACCACTCCCAGTACTGCTAAACACGTAACTCTGTGGTAACAGTCATGACACTCCCAGTACTGCTAAACACTCAACTCTGATGTAAACAGTCACAAGACTCCCAGTACTGCTAAACACGTAACTCTGTGGTAACAGTCATGACTCTCCCAGTACTGCTAAACACTCATCTCTGATGTAAACAGTAATTACACTCCCAGTACTGCTAAACACTCAACTCTTATGTAAACAGTAATTACACTCCCAGTACTGCTAAACACTCAACTTTGATGTAAATAGTAATGGCACTCTCAGTACTGCTAAACACTCAACTCTGATGTAAACAGTCACACCACTCCCAGTACTGCTAAACACGTAATTCTGTGGTAACAGTCATGCCACGCCAAGTACTGCTAAACACTCAACTCTGAAGTAAACAGTCATGACACTCCCAGTACTGCTAAATACTCAATGTAAACGATATAATACAGTGCCTGTTTTAGAGAATCAAACGTTCATGCATACCTTAAATGATAAAACTTGAACATTTGTATAATTTTGTTATCTTAATTTATAATTGAAAATATATAGGATTTTCGATTTGACAGATATCGCATAGTCCGCACTTTTAATTTATTTTCGAAAATATTTCGTCACATCGGATATTTCACCAGATAGCCACGGAGGGGATCTTTCGAGGTAAAACAACGTAAATCCCGACGGTAAGATACAAGAAATACGGCAATATTAATTGGATCGGAGAATTTGTCTTCCATATTAACTTCAAACCCCCTGGGATTATATGATGTTAATACGTAATAACCTAATATGGACGTTGTCCTCTTTATTTAATTTTGTTCCTTTTGTTTTTAAAAGTGCACATAGTGTTTCGAAGAAGTGTGTAGCTCTCACAGGATACCGGGTTAATTTGCTTAACACGTTATTTAGCCGTTATTCCGCTAACTATTCATTTCATTATCGATGTTCCTCGTGATATTATTTTGGCACTTTATTGGGTCAATGAAAAATAAGTTATACGGGAAAAGTAATTCATTAATCACGTAGCATATGCACATACTGAGAAAACTAATCATCCTGGCAAAGGAGCACAATGCAGTGAGTTCGCGACAGGTGTACGTGAAATGTACGTCTTATTATGGCAAAGGAGCACAAGGCAGTGAGTTCGCGACAGGTGTACGTGAAATGTACGTCTTATTATGCATTGATAGAAAGAAAAAAGAAAAGCTATTTTTTCAATGATTTATGCCGGAAATAAATCTTCATCCATTATTCCTCGCATTTACAAGTGTTCTCATTCCATTTCTAGAATTTGAATTCAATTTTTACTTCATGCGTAACAGAAGTCACTTTTTACAATCGACTTCATGAGTCGAACTTCTGATTATTAATTCCATCTCCCGAATGATTGAGATACAGGGGCGTCTCTGAGTCTGTATCAAGCTATTGGAGAGTTCACCACCGTGAAATATTTGATTGTATATTTGTAAAGATAAAACATAAAAGCAATTAAGGTCAACAGTACGAACGAATCTAAATACATTGTATACTATTTTCATAATCATTTTCGTAAAATGTTTGCTTTAGTCCTTATCAAACACGGAAAGATTCCATTAAGTCAGATGTTGCGATGCTATTTCGTTTAGTCCTTATCAAACACGGAAAGATTCCATGAAGTCATATGTTGTGATGCTATTTCGTTTAAATTTGGAGAGCTTGAAAAAAGTAAAGAAACAAGAATTTAGAAAAAATGGAAGAGTCAAACTCAATAGATAGCCTTGTAATTTACCAACTGACTAGGAATTTAAAATTCACAGCACCAGAACGAGTGTCCCATTTCCGGCTGAAAAGCGAATGAACAGAAAAACAAAAACAAAAGAAAATGGAATATATGTTATATGACATGTACAGGACCAGTTGCATAAATCCAGAAGAAACTCCTTGTTGTTGCATAGTCTTCTATATAGAAAGGAGACAACTCTAAGGGTAAAATATACTCTTAGTGGATTTTCTATAAGAGATTATACGTGATACAGTGGTATTATTTACCTTAAACCTCATAACTCTATTTTATGACTATTTTATCTTTGATTTAAAATAAAAGCTGACAATCCATCACTTGCTGTTATGTTTTTAATTGGTGCTACATGTATATAGTGATGATAATGATTGGCAATGACTCGTAGCATTTGTCAACATGATGTTTCTGTTATTAAAACGATATTTCTAATTCTAGGCAAAATTTTGCTCTATACAGAAATGTTGACTATTGACCATTGTTATTTATTTGGTTCCTTTTTATGTTTATCATTATTTTATCATTGCTGCTCTAAGAGTAACTGTTTTCTTGTTTACCGATAAAGCTGTTATTTTGTTCTAATTTAATTTAAGGTTCCCCCATACCACTGCCAAACCAATTAGCTGGTCCTACTCTTCTACAGTTAAATCCAAAATAAAATAGAGGCGAGGTTACTACCGTACTTATACGACACACCAGATTGCAGTTGGACAGTGATCCTTAATATGACGTCATATAAAGAATAATGGTGGCGATAACTGCAGTCCCGGCGTGTTGTCAATGGTAAACGTCGAAACACGATGATAAACATCAACGTAATAACATACACTTTACATTGTTAATATTTGATTTATTCATAATATCGTTAATGTACAATACCACTGAAGCAAGAAAGTACGTTGTTTAGCCGACTACAACTGCCGGCTCCTTGCTGACTGACATAGGGGAGACGGTCGTTGTTCCTAAACAAGGAATATTGTTTAATAACACAAGACAACACAACGCTGATAACTTATTCAATGTATTACACTGTATTTTAATCAGTTTTACAAGAACAAACAAACTAATTAAAGTATTGGATGACAACAAGTTTGGGTAATCATGCAATAGCAGCATATGTTTTCTGTTGCAATTGTTCTTTGGTGACCCGTGTTCTATTGGACAATTAAGGATTTACCGGGTTCTTTCTGACAGATTTTCTAATTGACAATTAAGGATTAACCGGGTTCTTTCTGACAATGTTTTTATTTGTCAATTAAGGATTATCCGGGTTCTTTCTGACAGATTTTCTATTTGACAATTAAGGATTATCCGTGTTCATTCTGACAATTGTTTTCCTTTTTGACAATTAGGGATTATCCGGGTTCTTCCTGACAAATTTTCTTTTTAACAATTAAAGACTATCGGGGTTCTTCCTGACTGATTTTTTATTTGACAATTAAGGATTATCCGGGTTCTTTCTGACCGATTTTCTATTTGTCAATTAAGGATTATCCGGGATCTTTCTGACCGATTTCTGGCAATATGTCTTCATAAACTAGCAAACTATTAGTGTTTGACAAATGTGATATATAATTATGTAATTAGCATACAGTGATTTTACTAAGCAGCAAATAAAAGAGTGAGAGATATTAAAAGGCAGCCTATGTTACCGTTGTTCTAACTCGGTATATTCGGATTTATAACGTGTTGTTAAATGTGTTCTGGGCATAGTGAGGTAAACCACTAGTTTATACGACATACCAAACGTACAAAAATCGTGAAACATAAATGGGAAACAACAGAAAATGTAATCGTTGTGCTAATACATGTATGTGCTGATTAATTAGCTTGAATATTATTTGTTTAAAGATGTACATATACATACCTCCATCACACAACATCTTCGCAGAGGCATCGCTTATCGTCGTTAATGCCGAAACAAGATCATTACCACAGGACAGCAGAGCAGGTGAGGTGTAAAGACATTCGGAGGACAACTTAAGCGACCTGCAGGGAACAGGTGTAAGTGATGATATTAAACGGGTAAATAATGCATTTATGTAGTTCAGAGAAAGGTAAACGGGTGGTAGTTATATAGTAGACGGCGACTGGTGTTTATGACAAACGTGAATCGGAAACAGAAGTTAGCGATAATATCAACAGGAATATAGCGTAAGGGGGAAACAATAACAGGATGCGTGTATCTGTGGCCATAGCTCACAATAAACGTGTGTTTAGGATAAACATGGACAGAGAGGATACCAGAAATAAATAAATCAGGAAATAAGTGTTAGATAAAAGTAAAAAGTCAGCAGACAAACGGAATTGATCGACAATCGTTAATGTTAGATTTTATGTTTAGAAACAATTTGTCACCTTATGGCTATCATCACATATCAATGTTACAATGTAACTATTATCCTGTATCAACGTCACAAAGTAGCAATTATCCTGTGTCAACGTCACAAAGTAGCCATTCTCCTGTATCAACGCTACAAAGTAACCATTATCCTGTATCAACGCTACAAAGTAACCATTATCCTGTATCAACGTCACAAAGTAGCAATTATCCTGTATCGACGTTACAAAGTAACCATTATCATTTATCAACGTTACAAAGTAACCATTATTATTTATCAACGTCACAAAGTAACCATTATCCTGTATCAACGCTACAAAGTAACCATTATCCTGTATCAATGCTACAAAGTAGCAATTATCCTGTATCAACGCTAAAAGTAACCATTATCCTATATCAACGCTACAAAGTTGCCATTATCCTGTATCAATATTACAAAGTAACCATTATCCTGTATCAATATTACAAAGTAACCATTATCCTGTATCAATATTACAAAGTAACCATTATCCTGTATCAACGCTACAAAGTAACCATTATCACTTTTCAACGATACAGAGTTACCATTGTCACGAATCAACGTTATATTGTCGTTATGCACTGTTATTAAAACAAAATTATATCTTAAACTAGTTCTACGTTTATACAGGGAATCTTATGTACTTTTTTTGGTTCTAAAATTAATATCGCATCGTAATGCATTTTTCCATATATCCTTAAACAAATTATCGTATTGTTTGTAATATCATAATACAATTGTACATTTTCATCATTTCTTCTAATTCACTAAATCAACTATACCATAAAGTGCATCGTGAGCCTTTTGATAATGATTAAAACATAATCTTTGAAATAAAACATACTTACGTGCACGTTATTTCTTTAACGGATAAATCTGCTTCAATCAGCTTGGCTACTATCTGCTGTGTCTTGTTGGCACATCTTCTTCCTATTTGTGTGTAGTTGATTCGCTCTAAACACTGATGTCCATTCACTAAAACTACAGAAAACAAAACAATCACGTGTATGAACCTATTTTTCTATCCATATTATCATGAAAATGCCGCTGTACCTGTCGTGAAATTCATGCAAGGCATTAATCTCAAGAACATTCAACAGTAAACTTTACATTGTAGTTGAACGCATAAAAGATGAACGGTTGCAACCACTTTGGATGGTCGTACCATACTATGCCAGGTGCACAAGAGCAGAACGTACAACAATGTGTTTAGTAGGCCAGCACTAAATGTGCAAGTGCACGTGTTAGTGGGGTACAATGTATTGTAGTGGAATGTACATTTGTTCTGCAGATGACATTCGAGCTACTCTTCATGTAATCACTCGTCTTAATAGTAATATCGCGTCAAACGTTTTGGCGAGTTATACCTATTTTGGTAGGACATTGCAAAGGTAAAATCAGCAAATTTGATAGCAGTATTAATCAGGTTTTGTTGAGATAAATGGGGTTAATACTTCAATGGATCTTTTACAAAATTAACTACAGCTGCGCATATCACTTAATTACTAAATCACATTTATAATTGATCTCAAAACAATTCACTAGTACAGACTTTTTCACTACTTTCAAATAAACCCCAATATCACTTAGAAAAGCTTGTAACAAATTAGAAATGGAACATATAAAATAACTACTTTACCTGATTTCTGCTGGCACATTATTTCCATCACATGGTGCAGTTGCTCATTGCTCATGATAGCTGGCTCGGTGCCGTTAATTTCGAAACATTTGATCATATGATCGTAGCAGGCCACATACAGGTCAATGTGACTTTAAAATAAAAATATGAATCTAAGCAGTTCTTCTTAAGCACATTTTTTTTATATCAACTAATGATCATATCAAAAGCACATGTATTGCCTTTTATCCTAAAGTGGTGATTTATTTTAAGAATACACTATACTATAGGTCACTTCAATAATTGCGTTGGACAGAACGAAGGTAGAAATTACGGTATTAGGAATTCATTTGAAAACTACTATATCTTTGGATCATAACGTGATGTCAATATGGACTTAGCCCAAATGATCAAACATTGAATACTTTAATTCTGCGAAGCAGATACTTAAAATAACCATAAAGTTTAAAAAGATCTACTTAGAATCCACGTAGTCACTGAATCACAGTAAAATATAAGTCATCGTTATATACAAAAAACTGTAAAGTACAAATCACTGTAAACTCTAAATCATTATAAAATACAAAACACGATTAACTAAAGATCACTGTGAATTATAAATCATTGTAAACTACAAAGCACTGTTAACTACAGATCACTGGGAATTATAACTCATTGGAAACCTAAAACACTGTTAACTACAAATTGCTGTGAATTATAAATCATTGTAAATTACAAAACACTGTTAACTACAGATCACTGTGAATTACAAATCATTGTAAACTACAAAGCACTGTTAACTACAGATCACTGTGAATGATAAATCATTGTAAACTACAAAGCACTGTTAACTACAAATCGCTGTAAACTCTGTATCATTTTAAACTACAAACCACTGTTTACTGCAGAACACTCTAAACTATAAATCATTGTAAACTACCAAACACTGTTAACTACACATCATTGTGAACTAAAAAAATGTTATAATATACAAAACACTGTTAACTACAGATCGCTGTGAATTATAAAGCATTGTATACTACAAAACACTGTTAACTACAAATCACTGTGAATTATAAATCATTGTAAACTTAAAACACTGTTAACTACAGATCACTGTGAATTATAAATCATTGTAAACTACAAAACACTGTTAACTACAGATCACTGTGAATTATAACTCATTTTAAACTTAAAACACTGTTAACTACAAATCGATGTAAACTAAAAATCAGTATAAACTACAAAACATAGTTAACTACAAAACACTGTGAATTATAAATCATTGTAAACCTAAAACACTGTTAACTACAAATTGCTGTGAATTATAAATCATTGTAAACTACAAAACACTGTTAACTACAGATCACTGTGAATTATAAATCATTGTAAACTACAAAACACTGTTAACTACAAATCGATGTAAACTAAAAATCAGTATAAACTACAAAACATAGTTAACTACAAAACACTGTGAATTATAAATAATTGTAAACCTAAAACACTGTTAACTACAAATTGCTGTGAATTATAAATCATTGTAAACTACAAAACACTGTTAACTACAGATCACTGTGAATTATAAATCATTGTAAACTACAAAACACTGTTAACTACAGATCACTGTGAATTATAACTCATTGTAAACTTAAAACACTGTTAACTACAAATCGATGTAAACTAAAAATCAGTATAAACTACAAAACATAGTTAACTACAAAACACTGTGAATTATAAATCATTGTAAACCTAAAACACTGTTAACTACAAATTGCTGTGAATTATAAATCATTGTAAACTACAAAACACTGTTAACTACAGATCACTGTGAATGATAAATCATTGTAAACTACAAAGCACTGTTAACTACAAATCGCTGTAAACTCTGTATCATTTTAAACTACAAAACACTGTTAACTACAGATCACTGTAAACTATAAATCATTGTAAACTACCAAACACTGTTAACTACACATCATTGTTAACTAAAAATCATTATAAACTACAAATCACTGTGAATTATAAATCATTGTAATCTACAAAACACTGTTAACTACGAATCCTAGTATGCAATATTATTATGCATCAATATGAATTCATTTATATCAGTCATTGTAATCTACATCACTGTGAGACATTACAAAATCTTAACTATACTGTATATTGTTAATCTAGCTGGAAATGATTATGAACTGTAGATCACCTCAAACTACCAACCACTTTAAATTATAAAGTAATGCTACTATAACTTCATATGATCATTTTTGATCTAACTCCTTGTTTTCGAAATCGCATACTAATATATTGTTTTTTAATTCAATACAGGAAGATCAATAGCCACGTTTTATTTTTATATATGTTTTTATGATGAGGGATACAGTTTATTTAGTGTTCGTGAGCGCCTTATGTTCAAAATACTTAATTAGAGACTCATTAGAGAGTAAGACAAATGAATTATGCTGACGACTAGTTTCAAAGTCGCTACTGAGTAACTTACGAACATAGGAAATCCATGACAGATGCTGTATACAACTGTTCCTCAGACGGAACTGGAAACGTTCCTGTAGTATTCAGACCGAAGATAGACAGACAGGTGTTGTATTGAGATAAACACTTTGGGATATCGGCGGAGTAAGTGATGTGAAGAAGGCACACAATCACGACTAAACCTGCCATAAAACAAATGAAGTAGAACCGCGTGGCTATACTAATCATATATATTAACCTTTACTTTCTACACAAACAATATACGTATTTAACGTGTGGCAACGTGTCAATACCGACTGGTCCCTTTGTCAAGCTATGACTTGGAATTTGACTTGTCATAGCTTGACAATGGGACCAGTCAATCAAGAAAGCATCACTTTGATATACATATTTCCAAACTTAATATAATAAAATTCAAAACGTTCCAGACAATAAAGGATAAAACTGATGGATGTGGTTTCGTTCTATGACTTTTGATGTCGATTATTAAAACATATGGCTCAGAGCGCCAGCACATAATCACAGGATTGGAATTTAAATACATAACAAAACTTAAGGGTTTATAAATATGATAGAGTGAACTTCATATGCGTTGGCCTGAATTTAAATAGAGTGTTCGTATCCAACAAAATAATATTTAATGTGAATGATTCAGTATACGATACCTCGTATGTCCATTTTTGAATTTTTCCTTTCCTCGCTGATAGTTCAAGTCAGTGTTGATCAAGACCTTTATCGTAACTGGTTCAAAGGAAAGATTCTGTGCCCTCTGATAATTTTATCTGAAGATTAGATAGCAAGTAAATTGCGCAAGGCTTTTAAAATAGAACCTAGTTTAGACAATCATGTAAAGGGTGACATTATGATAATGCAAAGCAGGCCGCTCCGCTCCCGCCAACGTATTTTGTGCCATAATCTTCACTGGTGTTAAGGACATCGGAAATCACCTGTAACATTATATAAAACTGATAGTTAAGGACATCCGATATCACCTGTAACATTATATAAAACTGGTAGTTAAGGACATCCGAAATCACCTGTAACATTATATAGAACTGGTAGTTAAGGACATCCGAAATCACCTGTAACATTATATAAAACTGGTAACATTTCCAGTGAGTACAAACACTAGAGCTACATCAGCTAGCCCAAATGTTCTTCTGTTTATGTCGTGTCACTGACCCGGGCCAGCCAAATGTATAAATACATATGTAACAGTTGTCTTATTTGATCTGAACTCAGTGGAATCATGGCATCTGTTTCGACGTGTCATGTACCAAAGCAATATCCGTTTATAAATATAGAGCATATATAGTACTAACTATTACGTCTGTGGAATTATCACACCTGTAAATGACGTATTCGAATCTAGTGCATCTTAATGGGCTCTTGACACCATGATTTTAATGTACAGGCATTCACATCAATTTTAAATAAAGAAGGTGGAATGTGCTATCATCGTTAAATGTCTGGTATGCTTTATTTAATATTGGAAAAGTATAATAGCCAATATAAACAGAAAAACAAAAATACATACAGTTTGTCAAATAATCTTTATCAGGAAGACAACTTAATTAGTGGTCATTATTCCTTAGTCTATCTGCACTAGATAATAGTCAATCATCCTTTTCCGCTAGTGCAGATTGTGTCTGATCAAATCAACTATATTCGTAATAACATAGATTGTACACCGTGTTGGTATTGTTCATTGTTGTTTAATCCTTCATGCTAACATCTATGTGGCAATATATTTCATATATGTATAAACATGTACATTAATTGTGAACAATTTCGTTTTCTAATTATATGTTGCTGAACAAATCATGTATAGGAGTTAACAAACTTATATCATGTTTACATTCAGAATGCAAGAATTGGCTAAACATATAACACTATTAAGAGTTTTTTATGACCCAGTTGCTGCTCTTTTTTAAACTATGCCGTGCTTTTCTGATTGCGAAACCGATTACCGTCGTTAATAGGCTTTTGACATAACGTTACGTTATGTTGAATACATTGCTTAATGCAATTATATCACTGCTAAGATGCTCTTTGTGTTATTTTCCAAATCTTCAGCATGAATAATAGAGAATACATATATCTTAATATACATTTAGCAATTGATAGCTTCACATTAATGTTTATGTTTATTATATAAAACGATACACTGTTGTTAGAAATAGCTCAATATACATAAGGTCGATTATCTGAAACATTTCGTTCTTTATAATAGTCAATATTTCAGCAGGAAAGCACAAAAAAGTAGAAGAATGAATGTTCTTTCGTCTGGTAAAATTATAATGGTCATTGTCAAATGAAGAAATCCCGAGACAAATCAGAACAGACCTGCTGGTGCCCACTGCATGATCGCATGGGGAGACTAATATGGATTCATCTGCAGAATCGACGTTACTTTTTCTTTGTCTTCTGCTAAGAGGCACCTGTGTAACCAAACATAATCTGCTTCCTCCAAAAGACCACTTGTGGTTTCTATCTCTTCCTCCCCACCTACATGTACCTACTCTATCTTTTCTGTGGTATTTCCGTCGGCAGCCATCTTCGTATGACCGTGGCTGCAATGACGACCTTTAACCCCGATCCAATAACAAAACTAGCAAAACTTTAGATTAATATTTTATTTCAAACATAAATGCTTTATGAAACACAACAATAATAAAATTGACAATTGTACAAATATTCTAAGATACATTACGCGAAATATAGGCCCTAAATGCACACTTAAACACAATCACCTATAGGAACACACTAAATATCGTACTTTGAAAACACTTACACAGCTTTTACTATATGTTTAAAGACACACTATAACACACTCAGAATTGGTACCACCTCTGGTAACTACAATGGTAACACACCAAGTAGTTTTTATAGTACACACGGTATACTCTCACACATTATCTCACCTCTTTTAAAACACATATACTTCACTCTCTACTGACTTTAATCATCAATTATAAACACACACGTTCTGAGATTTTTTGTATCAGACGGATATTTGAAATTCAATTTAATAACATTTTATCAATGACACTTGAGTATTGTTCTTCTGGTTTAATGAGATAGATTATAAACTGTATATGTTTCAATGTTACTTTGATTTTGAACTTCGTCTGTAGTATAAAACCTGGCCTGTAAGTATGATATTCAGTATTATTACTTGTATAAATGTCAAAATCATAATCCAGTCCTGTGTCAACACTATCGACGTTGTTAACCGACCACAACTATGGAATACACACAAAAACGTTGATGCAGCTGACAACTGTCCCGAACTTTTATTTTTGTGATTCGTGTATATCTGTATTACCTGAAAAATAAATAGCACCAATATAGTAAACGTTATGATGAAATCAGTAATCATCATATACCTGTAACATGTACACATATCATATCACGCTACTGATGGGAACCAATTTAATCTCTTCTCGTAAGGATAGTTGTAACTTTCACAATGTAAGTATCATTTATTTCAGAGATGTCACACTTATACTGTTCAAACCGCGTTACTATTCATAACTGGTACTTTGAAAGTTGTAAGTGTTTCACTATATTGTACTATTGACATATAGGATAAAACAATTTTAAATACTGTAAAAGTAACGTAACACTGCGACTAGGTGCATGAAGGAAACTTTAGAATGTCTTATTATTCTGTTTTGTTTATTATCAAAGTTTGTATTGCTTAAACATAGACCAACTATACTATAACAAAGTCCGATATGAGAAAGCTTCAGGTCTTGTCAGGGATTTTTAATTGAACAATTCATTATTTGCTAAACTTTCTGCCTGAAATAAATCAATCTTACCCGACTCGCACTTGTGGCTGGTAGACTGATGATATTGATGAAAAGGATTAAGTCACTGGGAATGACGGGGAGGATAAGGAGGATCATAATAACCAGGTAGAAAATCATGAAGGAAAGTGACGCCAGGGGGCGTTTGTTGTAACGCAGAACAAGACACACCAAGATCACGTTCTGAAGCATGAACACCACATTCTCTCCCCAGGAACTAAAAGAAAAGATTAAAAAAAAAGTCAGATAAAGTCAAATTAGTAGAGTTGAAATTATGTTATCATTTTATTTGATAAACTAGGCAGAGCTGCTTGTAGTATACTAGATACATAAGACATTCTGACGTCCCGTTACAGCAACAGTGTTCAAATACAATATTTTATACATCCTTTTCTTTTGTTTATGCCGATAAATATATATAAATAAGGATACCAGAATAAACATAAAAGCACTCACTTGATTGGATATTCCTTTGATAACGAGTAAGCTACATTTGAGGATGAGGCTTCTAACATCAGTAGCATACTTAGGAAACTGACTCCGGACGCATTCCGTCGCCGAAGTATTTTGAATATTTGTGGAACTTGACCTGAAATAGCAATCATCATCATCATCATCATCATCATCATCATCATCAATATATTAATAACTTAGACTACCTTTGCGTATATTTATTCAAATGAATTAGATCACTCTGTATCATAAAGAATATTGTTTTTGTATTTGAAAAATTGACAATTTCACTTTTATTAACAATAAGTAATCAACTTATGTATATGTATAGTATACTCACTTATAGTAGCACTGCCGATGAGGAAATATCCAAGGGCCTTAGTGAACAGGATTAACCAACAAGAACCTGTAGTTAAATATAATACATACGTTTTAAGTTCGTTTATAGTTATATTAAAATATTTTATTTATGCCATTATATATGTTGACTGCATAGAGTTTAGTCCATATATTTATCAGGATCGGTTGCATCATTACCAATAATTCATATATTGCATTTAATTAATCTGCTCATTTTATTAAAAATAAAATAATCCCCTTTTTCCCAGTAGTTTTATCTGGTTTTTTTTTATTCACATGATTGATTGTATACTGTGAAAAGGGTAACATTCGCGATGGTTTAGAATATCCAATTTTCGCGGAGGTGCATGTGTGCGAAAATAACATAGCTCAATTTTCCTCCTGTAATACATGTACAGAAGTTAAAATTTCTGTCTAATCGTCATCTGTAAATATTTGTTATAGCCAAATTACTACACATGGAATCCGACAAACGGTGTAAACATTGTATACGTATATTAATACATAGGGCACACTTGAGACACTTATCGCTACTATCTCGTGATTCACGCCACGTAGTTGAACTCGTCACCGGAAGTTAAATAAGAGCTCGCCTGGTTTATCTTTACAAGTTTCGTATTATTTCAACTCTTTTCCGGCCATAGTACAAGTATTAGTGTCGATATCAATATATTTTTATATCAGATAAATATAGCAACAAAACATAGTGTGGACCGTGAATTTCGAATAAAACTAAGTGTCTTCAACAATGAAGATATTCATCATACAAATATAAACACATCTTTATTCGTTCCTCTTTCTTTCTATTTCTCTTTCTTTTACATCTAAATTTCAATGTAACTGACACTATTGCCATAGAACATAAATAGCACCAGCTACATTTCCTGTGACATATATCGTGGTGAGGCTTACTGAATAAAATGGATGAAAGGTGAACTTTACGGAATGGGAATACCATCGGATAATATACGAGGTCATCGAAAGTACACATTTTAAATGTTATGAGCAAATACCATCTCTTCGTTTTAGTTAAAGTGTATGATACTTTTAGTCATAACACGCATGCTTACCTTGCATTGCTGTTGGTCGTCGTTGTAAAATCTCCCTGTAACAGTATTCTGGGGTCTCGACATAGCCCATCGACTTAAGCGTCGTCTCAGTGTTGTAGATGTTCATAGTGCCTACTTCTGCTCTACGATTGTTCAATGTTGAATAGTCAAGTGTGTATGTAACAGATACTGTGACTGTGATGCAATGAAGGTCCTCATATATATACCAGTCATATCAGATGAGGTGATCATGGCGTACGGATACAGCATCTTTATCAGTCTGCAATGTTATCTGTTGTTGTCCAGGTACACACAAGGCTGTCTGGAGCAGGGGACAAAGGACACTGTCAGCTTAATCATATATTCGATTGTAAATCAAAACCCTTAACGACGCTTTATGCAGAAACGTTGCATGTCAAATATGGAATCTACAGTGATCGATAATTTTGGCAAACCTTGCAATGCTTTGTTGTTCTAAGAATGAATTCACTTGTAATTTATGTTAATTGTCAGAGTTAATGAAATGAAATTAATGAGGCTGAAGTACCAGGATGCACCCGTGTGACCATCCCACTCGTCTCATACGTGACACACGGGTATCAATGAACTGACTCAGACAGTCTGACACATCTACAACATTCGTCCATAACACCATGTGTCCAGTTGTTTTTGTCTGAGTATTGTAGTAACAGGGATAGGTTCGGGTTAGTGGGATTATGTTTACGTTTTAAACTAGACGAAACTTACGGTAAATAAATAACAACACATTAGTAGTAAATAGGATAAATGCACTGAGTTATCTGTTGTTCTATGTAAATCGTATGAAATGACATTGAATACCATACGAATGTGCAACGTTTACGAATACATCATAATTAATTAAACTCTTCATATCTGTATATAACGCTGGGCTCATTTTGTTCTATATTGTGTTATAAAAGACAAATGAATGAGAAATAAATGTGACAAATATTACATAAAGATAATGTGTTACATAATTTGGACGAAATAATGGACATGACAAGAAGTGTAAACATCTTAATGTTTTGAAAGTGAGATATAAAAGCCTTAAATAAATCTGACAACATCAGTTGAAATTGTCGGAGGAAAAACCGTCAGGCGACATCTGGTAGTATTGTATAGTACATACGTAATACCCATGTCAGTGGTAGATACAGGATAAACAAAACGTTCTTACACATTGTTATTTGTTTGAAATTAATGCGTTTTCTGTTCTTCAATTTTACGTTTTTAAAATAATTTCGATATATGCCGATGTATTGCTACGTTTTTGAATTTTTACTGCAGCAGCCTTGCTTATTTAATGGTTTAGCTCTGCAAATATACTGAGCTGTTATGGGATTAATCATCAATCGCCCTGCAGGTCGGGATGGAGAAAGAAATTATACTTGGATTTTGTAAGAGGAAACGTATGTAGAAACTCCCTGCAGAATTGGTTTTTTTTCGCTTTTATGCCCTCTACGTTAGGACACGAAAAGGACCAGAATGAGTCTCTTGCAACTACATTTATTGCAACACCTTGAATCATTAGTATTTACCCTCTACATTTGTACATCATGTCTGTCTCTTTCCCCTTGTCTGGAGGTATATGTAACATAGTTATGGTGTTAATGTTGAACGTATGCCCAAGTGGAGAAGGCAGTGTGTTCTGTCCTTATGCCGGAGCAATATTCCCCTTTGTCCGTATAAAGTGATTATGTGGATTACATGTGTAAAATCCTGGCTGTCTTCAATTTCAATTTCAACAAATGTTATTGACAATATAAGCAGTATTCAATAGGATCAGACATCAGGCATAGCCTATCTAAGTCCTCTCCTTAAGGTGACAACAGGTGGTAAGAAACACAGACAGATATGTATACATTGATATGATGATTGGGATAAGGGGAAGTAACTCCTTGATGTAAACAGACTTGTTCAATATTCTTGAGATATAGTAACCCTTTCACTAGGGATATTTAATTTGAGATATTCACTAGATTATTATCTTCAGTGAATAATATCAAGTATTAGACAATGCGTTACAATTATTCATATAATGTAAACTGTTGAATATAAATATTTGGTGATATTGGATTTATTCCCCCAACAGATACAGGCCATAGAGTCCATATGTATAATACACTAGCCATACACTGTTGAGGATTAAAAGCCAATTTCAGCAAATAAATATAGAATTTTTAAGTAGGGCTACACCAACTCCTGCAAATAATATGATAATTCCTTTATCAAATTGAAAGGAGTTACTTCATATCTTGATGTAAGCTTAAAAGAAGAAGGAAAAAACCCATCTAAGCTGCCCAGAGCCAATTTCATTCCATATGTATATAACAGGTAAATTAGTAATTATTATAGGTAGAATAAAGTAGTAGTATCTAATTAATTCCATATTATATTACATAACGTATATCTTGTACTGCTATATCATTGTAGTTCACCGGGGTTATAAAGCTTGTATGCATATAACATGGAAAAAAAAAGAATGTATATGTTCCGAAAAATGGTAAAGGTAAGTCAAAGATTATGTTAATGAAAATCTTTTTGATTACGATATAAAGTTTGATACATGAGATAAGATATCTCTATTTTGTATATCATTACAACTATTACAACCATTTAATAGGACATTTATACACAGATGATCGTGAATGTAATTATTCAAACTCTGTTGGAGAGTCTGGCGAATATTAGTATATTGATTACATCCAGAAAAATAATGTGAAGCAGTTTCGAAAGATCCGTTACATTCACACATCGGAGATTCAATTAAGTGATCTTTATAACGACCATACGTTAGATTACTAGCATTATTTCTTAATTGGCAAAGTATAATGTTTACATCACGATTGCAAAAGTATTTGAAACATGAGTTGTTTCAGATTTCATATATTGCTTTATAGTTAGTAACCTTTTGAACTGTGTGGTAGATTGAATGTAACTAATATCTGGGGCAAGTCTATTAATTTCATTTAGCATGGACGGAAAAAACTTTCAAAATAATTTACATTACGACATAAAGGGGGATCAAATAATCTGTTTATTCGGAGGGGATATCTGTCAAGGGTTTCATCATGAATATATGGTTGAATAATTGCTCTTAGGTAATCCGGGGTTTCATTATTCATTATTCTATACATGAAAATTAGTTTATGTTTACTTCTTCTTCAGATCAAAGTTTCCCATCATAATGCCTTGTCTAATTTAGCATCCGATGTCCCTCTACGTAAACCTGTAATTAATCTTGCAGCCTTTAATTGTATTGATTATAATATATTTATTTGAGCTAATGTACAATTGTCACACACAACATCTGCATATTCAATAACTGGTCTTATGTAGAAGGTACATGTATATAAGGTTGTAAGGTTGTTAAGGATTTTCTATCAACTTTTTTTTTAATAACCTGAAGATATTTATTCTTTTAAATGCTTTTTCATATATATTAGATATGTGTTGATTCCATTTGGCATCATCACTAAGTGTAAGGCCCATATGTGTATGTGTTTTGCTTTCAACAATTGGTTTGTCATAAAAAGTAAAAATAGGATGATTCTTATTAGTTTTCCTTGAGAAAATTACAGATTAAGTTTTAGAAGGATTACATTTAATGTCCCATTAAGTGGCCCACAGTTTAATATTAGTCAAGTCATTAGACATATTTTGTGTCAATTCATTGGGATTATTATACCATTTACCATAGAGAGAGGTGTCATTTGCAAATAATTTAATTTTAATGGAAACACAGTCAACAATATCATTACTTTTTATTAAAAACAATAACGGACCGAGGACCGATCCTTGTGGAACCCCTGCTTGAACAGGGTCAAAGGTTGATGTACAACCTTCAGTTAGTACTCTCTGTTTTCAGTATGATAAAAAGTTACAAAACCAATTTAAAATATTACCTATACCACTATATGATTCCAACTTGAAAAGCAGTCCATTGTGCCAAACTCTATCAAAAGCCTTGCTTATGTCACAGAAAATAATTATGATTTCTTTATTTTGATCTAGGCAATTCAACAATAGTAAGGTAAATAGACAATAATTGATTTACAGTTGAAACTTTAGATGTAAAGCCAGACTGGTGTTTTGTAATGATTTTATATGCACTGTGGTAATTATATAGATATTTAAAAGTGATTTGTTCTAACATTTCACTAAAACATGAAGTAACAAAGATAGGTCTGTAATTAGACACCTCATTAACTAATCCTTTACCTTCATAAATAGCGTTAATATTAGCCATCTTCCAGCTGAGGGGAATGTTACCAGTTTCAAGTGTTGTGTTAAATAGAAGAGTTAGAGGAAAGGGGATAGATGGATGTAATTGTTTGGTTATCCTGAGAATCATGTCATCCGGTCCAGCAGGTTTATTAGCATTCCAAACGAAATAGCTGTTCTTTAACATCCTGTTTAGGTATAATAATATCATTTATGGAATAAGGAAAATAATTAGTAGTTTCAGATATAGGTTCAGTATTTCCAGAAGTGGTAGATATTGATGGAAAGTATTTATTTAAGCATTCAGCTTTGTCAAATGAATGTTGCATAAATTAATTATTGTGTGTTAGTGGGGGAATAGAAGTAGATTTGTTAGTTATATCAAGGACATTTCGTGCAATTTTCCACCACTTGTTAGGGGGAACAGTTTTGTCGGTTAATAGTTTTTGTAAATTTTCAACGTACCTTTTCTTTGCATCAAGTATTTTACTAATGGTTTCATTTCCTTCGTTTCTTAATTTTCCCCAGTGAAAAGCCGAATTACTAGATTTTTCTTTCCTATGAGCCCCGTTTCTTTGTCTTATATGTAGTCTAATATCATTAGTCATCCATTTTTTTTCGTTTGGTCTAATTGTTGCACACTTAATGGGTATAGATTCATTAATTAAGTATGTTATAGTATCAAATAAAATATTTCTAAATTCACTTGTATCATGTATATTGTTAAGGTTTTTTCCAACCTGTTTCTAATATACATCTATTCATCTTATCATAATCTGCATCTTGATAAATAAGAATTTTCTTTCGATAGGTTTGTTTTTTAAAAACTACATAGGAAATATTGAATTGTATCAGAGAATTGTCACTACATACAGGAGGAAACACAGATGCATTTTTAACTAGATTTCTGTTGTTGGAAACGACAATATCAATTGAAGTTGATGAAGTTGGAGTGATACGGGTGGGGTCTGTGATAAAACTAGAAAGATTAAATTTTGTCATTAGTCTACCAAGGTGGGAATGGGGTTGAAGAT